TGACCCCGTGGCCATCGCCGTAGGCTTACCGATAGACGGGGTGTTCAAAAGCGTAGACCGAACAAGAGCATCGGCCGGAATAGAAGCAGGTAAAATATAGGGGTACGTCGGATGGGTAATTTGAGGTATACCTAAGGCATGAGCTAGAGCGATGGAGTAACTCTAAACGAATGACCTCTAAGAGTAACCCTAAAGGACGAGCCGTCTATATCATGAATATTCGCGTAGAATTCCTGAACGAGGAGTGGGGGAGGAGGTGAAAGACCAATAAGAAGGGGTCCCAACCCCAGGAAACAAAAATGGCGGCTATATCAACAGGAAGGTTAGATAAGATTACCTCACGCTCCACGAGAACGGGGCGTAAGGAGAACTGAGAAGTGAAGACTTCCTGAACTGTAGCAGAAATGAATCTGGAACGACTATACAACGTCGAACCACTAGTTGGTTGTGCAGAGGATCGAGAACGCTTACGGGCCATCTGGCATTCGTAGAGACAAAACTAATAAGTAATATGAAGAATGCACGTGATTCGATGCAATGTGGAATGAAACACCACACACACAAATGAGGCACAATAGAGATGCATCGACAAACGTGAATGACCCTAAGCACAAACAAAGTAAGATGAAGATATAGACCAAAGATATGTGTAAACACACCCATCATGGCATGTGATGTCAAAGAACCAACGATGGAAAGGAAAGAAAGAAATGAGATGCACAAAAAAAGAGGAAACAAAGAATAAAATAGGCAAGTAATTTCATCGAGCATGTGGCGTGCATCACTTTGTCACACAATTCCAAGCACATACGAGATCCAATCAACCATCCAATCATAGCCCCTCAAACTAGAAACTACGTACTTTAAAATGAAACAAACCACACGTCAAACGGATTAACGGAATGCAAGAACGAACGAATTGAAAATGGAGGAAAAACATGTAAACCACATAGTGCGAAGAATGAAGAAAACGAACAATGCAATGGAAATCGTGATGCACAATGCGTGAGATAACTCCCAATGAAAAAAGGAATGTCGAAGCTTCTATAAATTAAGTAACAATCAAGCAAGAATACCAAAGTAAGCAAAACACACGAAAAAGAGCAAAACAAAACGAAAAAGAAAAAAGATTACCGCAATGTGATGTTTAGCAAAGGAATCCGGAAGAAAAATGTTGGTAGGGGCCTCGAAGTTAAGTTATCAATTGATGAAAATTGAGAAAAACACGAGAAGGAAGAAAGAAGAGAGAAAAATCAAGAAATTGCGCGAAAAAAATGAAACCGGGTATTTTAAAAAGTGACCTGTCGCTCGAGCGAGGATCTAGCGAGACTCAGGCGACAAGCAAACTATTTTTATCGCTCGAGTGAAGACCAGGCGAGACTCGAGCGAAACACCAAATGTCAAAAATAGCACTAAAAATTTGAATTTTGAGAAAAATAACATAATCTTCAAGAAATGACGAAATTATCCCCAAATCTTGAAATTTCAAAAAAAGTGAACTACGTAATAGTGGAAAATAATCCCAAAAAAAAATAGCATGGAACCACATATGCAATCAAAACCAACAATAAACATAAAATCACAAACCCGACCACCAGCACGTAGACAAATCGTTAATCCACACAGTTCAGAATCCTGTGTAGTAAAGTGTATACAGAACATTACCGTGAAAAGTGCCACGTAGTCCATGCAAACTAGACTCAAAATCTTAAATTAGTGAGAAAGAACACGTGAAAACAACCAGACAAAAGTGAATGTCGACCAAGTGACAGTCAAATCCAATTCCACGAGGACCTATATCAAATATTATGATTGTCACAATTTTACTCCCCCTAACTGTATGATTCCAAATTTTTATTTTTATCTTTATTGTTTTTTTTAATTAACAAAAGAACTTAAGTGCAATGCCATCCCCATTAGGCAACATAAATGACCCCTGTAACAAACTTTGGGTCGATGACTCCCAAGTCAGACGACCATAGGGCACCAGGTTAGAAACCCTTCAGGCTTAATTGTTCGAGTCAAATAGGCCCCGAAGATAGCCATAAGTTCAACAAAGAACAAAAGTAAAACTGGAGAAAGACAATATTGATTAGGTTACACTCGTCCCAGATCAAGTGAAATGTACATACAACCCCAATCGTAGAAGAACACCATCTCACCCATGCGGTCAAGACACAGTTACAGGACTACAGTGTGTGCTGTGTGAAAATGAATGACGAGCCATATACCTAGAACTCCACAGTGAAAAATGAGCAAAGATGGATCCTCAGATTCATACACATGTTGGAAAAATAGAATTTGATCTTTAATGCAAATGCCAGAATTGTTACATAAAAGTCCAAAAAAAAAATTTTATTTTATTTTATTTTATCTAATTTTTTTTTATTAAAACACACATATAACACATAACAGAAGACTAAACAAAATAAAAGAAATGCATCACACACACAGAGATCACACGCAAGATATGAAGTGATGAGGTACATATTTGATGAATGCAAGAACATTCATGAATCCATGATCAAATAGGTGAGCAAACACCAACAGCCATTCGAAGCGACTCAAACCTCAATCCATCTAGTGGTTTCGTAAGTAGATCGGCCAATTGATTATCAGTAGAGACATGATCGAGGGAGATTACATGTGTTGACGAATAAAATGATGTCGTATGTCTATATGTTTTGTTCGAGAGTGTTGAATGGGATTTTTAGAAATGTTTATTGCACTTGTATTATCACAAAAAATAGTCATGGTCCCTTGACTAATCCCATAATCACTCAGCATCTGTTTCATCCAGAGAAGCTGAGTGCAGCAACTCCCTACAGCTATGTATTCAGCCTCTGCTGTGGATAGCGATATAAAATTCTGTTTCTTGCTTAACCAGGCTACGAGATTGCTACCCATGTAAAAATAACCCCCTGTCGTACTTTTTCTATCATCTGCGTTCCTGGCCCAATCGGCGTCGGAGTAACTAGCCAAGTCAAGATTGGAATTTCGAGAATAGAAGATCCCTAGATCAACTGTGCCACTCATATATCGAATGATGCGTCTAACAGAGCTTAAGTGTGATTCTTTTGGATCTGCCTGAAATCGAGCACACACACCAACGCTAAAAGCAATGTCAGGTCTAGTAGCTGTGAGATAAAGAAGACTGCCTATCATGCTTCGATAAAGGGAAGGATCTACACTCTTACCTGAAGGATCACGACCTAACTTCAAACTAGTACTCATAGGTGTCCTAGTATGCTTCTTACTATCTAGCCCAAAGCGCTTAACTAGATCCTTAGCATACTTGGACTGTGAAATGAACAGTCCATCCTCTGTCTGTCTTACCTGAAGTCCAAGGAAATAACTCAACTCCCCAACCATACTCATTTCAAATTCTTGCTTCAAACATTCAGCAAACTCATAAGCTAGAGACTCAAGAGGAGAGCCAAAAATTATGTCATCGACATAAATCTGAGCAATGGTGATAGTTTCATCAACATGTCTAATAAATAAGGTCCTATCTGCACCTCCTCGAGAGAATCCATGTTCTTCAAGGTATGATGTAAGTCTCTCATACCAAGCTCTAGGAGCTTGCTTCAGACCATAGAGGGTTTTGTGTAGTTTGTAGACATAGTGGAGAAACTTAGGATCAACAAATTCTTTTGGTTGTTCCACATAGACTTCTTCTTGAAGAAGTCCATTCAAGAAGGCACTCTTTACGTCCATTTGATGCAACTTGAACCCTAAGGTACAAGTAACAGCAAGCAGAATCCGAATAGACTCAAGTCGTGCAACAGGGGCAAAAGTCTCATCAAAGTCAATTCCTTCAACTTGAGTATAACCCTGAGCAACTAATCGAGCCTTATTCCTAGTTATAGTACCCTGGTCATCTGTCTTATTCTTAAAGATCCACTTAGTACCAATAACATTACAATTCTCAGGTCTGGGAACTAAGATCCACACATTGTTCCTAGCAAATTGATTGAGCTCCTCATGCATCGCATCCACCCAACACTCATCACCAAGAGCCTCTTCAACCTTTTTAGGTTCTACCTGAGATACATAGCTAGTGTATGCTAGATTGTTCAGTACTCTCCTACGAAGCCTCATGCCTTCATCTAGATCCCCAATGATATTGTCTTTAGGATGATTAGACTTAACCCTAGTCGATGGTTCCTTAGGATCTTTATCTCGATCTTATGGAAATGTTTTCTTTTCATGTGTTTCAGGTTTTTTAAATGATGATTCAGACATAGGTATCTTAGTAGGATCATTAGAACTTATAAGATCTCCATCTTCATCACAATTTTCAACACTCTCCCCCTCACTTATAGCATCATCTATCACAACATTTACTGACTCCATCATCACACGAGTACGTAAGTCTTACACCCTGAATGCTCGGCTATTTCTAGAGTATCCTAGGAAGATTCCTTCATCACTTTTCGATTCAAACTTACTCAAGTTCTCTTTATCACGTAAAATGTAGCACTTACTCCCAAATACTCGAAAGTACTTAACAGTAGGCTTTTTACCCCTAAGTATTTCATATGGAGTCTGATCGATCTTGGGTCTAAGGTAAACTCTATTAATTATGTGGCATGCGGTGTTAACAGCTTCTCCCCAAAAATGTAAGGCTAGTCCCTTGCCATGAAGCATGGCTCTAGCTATGTCCTGAAGAACCCGATTCTTCCTTTCAGCCACTCCATTTTGTTGAGGAGTGATAGGGGAAGAGAACTCATGCAATATGCCTTCATCCATGCAGAAACTTTCGAGATTAAAGTTCTCGAACTCCTTTTCATGGTCACTACGCATTCTAGACACTTTGAGATTTAGTTCATTGCTAAGCCGTTTGCACAAAGACTTTATGAGATCACATGCATCAGATTTTTCCCGAAGCAATTCTATCCATGTGAACCTCGAGAAGTCATCTACCACAACTAGAATGTATCGCTTACCACCTAAACTCTCAGTCCTAGATGGTCCCATTAAATTCATGTGTATCAATTCTAAGGTCTTTTGGTCAGAATTTTAGAAGTCTTCTTATGGTTTCCCTTGAGTTGTTTACCTAGTTGACATGGTCCACACACAGCATGTTCACTAGGACCTATCTTAGGCAAACCATCTACTAACTCTTTCTTAACTAGTTGTACTAGACTCTTATAGTTCAAGTGACCTAACCTTTTGTGCCAGAGTTCACTCACATCAATTTTAGCACTCCTACACACATAGTTAGAATTAGGCAAGACTCCATAACAATTATTAGCTGTTCTAACCCCTTCAAGAACTACCCCACTAGATGAATCATACACAGTACATCTCTTTTGCACAAAACTCACTTCAAAATCAGCATCACAAATTTGACTAATACTTAACAAATTTGATTTTAAACCTTCAACATAAAGCACATTAGAGATCTCAGGTAAGCCATGCATTTGTACAGTACCTTTGCCAAGAATAGGTGCAGAACCTCCATCTCCAAAGGTAACCATACCACCGTTACATTCATCAAGAGTAGTAAACAAAGCCTTATTACTATACATATGCCTAGAACATGCACTGTCTAGGTACCACATATTGTAATTTTGGGCTTTTAATGCAACATGAGCAACAAAACACTTATCTTGACTTGAATGTCTAGCTAAATCGTCCTTTTTGACCCAAACTTTCTTAGATGATAAGGTACTCCTAGTAAGCTTAGTAAGCATCTCAGTCAAATGACTAACTTGATTAGACAGAAAGCTAACCTGACTAGGAATATTCTGATTTCTACGCTCATTGCCTAACTTATAGCATCTAGGTCTAGCGTGTCCTAGAGCTCCACAGTGGTGATAGGTAGGAATGAACCTAGGTTCAAAGGTACGTGGCTGTGGGTATCTGGGTATGGAGTTTCTACGTGATTGATGATTCTGTTCTCTCGGAACATTCTTACCCTTATTTGAACTACTTACAGCATTTACTTTCTTAGATGCAGAAACAAAAACTGTTTTAGAAGGTCCAGCAACAAGTGAGTTATTCTTAACATATCCTAGACCCTTCCTATCTCCTGCAGGCTTATTCATTCCCAAGATATTGTCCAATTTCTTAGTCCCACTAACGAAAGTCTGAAGATGAGCATTAGATTTCTCCAATTCACTAGTCAAAGTCTTAATTTTGTCATCTAACTTCTCATTGACACACTTTAACTCACTACCATTCTTAAGTGATTCCTGAAGATTACTAGCAAGTTTCTCTTTTTCTCTTTCAAGTTCGTCAACCTTTTTGAGTAGGGCTTTATTTACCTTTTTGATTCTAAGACTCTCCTTAAATAAAAGTTGATAAGCTTCTTGTATGTCTATCTCATTCTCATCTTCATTACTAGAATTATCGTTAGAATGTTCTTCCTCAACCTTGTCACTTTCCTTATCAGATTCACTCTTAACAGTTGATACAAATGCCATGTAGTTTCCTTTGTCCTCACTACTAGAAGAATCCTGTCTATCACTGGTCTCAGATTCATTATCTGTGAGTGAGACAATTAAGGCCTTACCTTTCCCTTTTCTTTGGTTTTTCTTATAACTAGGGCATTCATTTCTATAGTGACCTATACCTTGACACTCATGGCACCTAACCAAACGTGGTTTATCACTCGACCCTTTATTGTTAAAAGTTTCAGTTTTTGCTTTTGTGAATCTGTTAGGGGCTCCACTCTTTTTATCTTGAGATTTTCTTCTATTGTTGAGAACTTTTTGGAATTTCTTAACAAAGTATGCGATTTCCTCGTCCCTAAGTGACTCAGTATCAGAAGATTCATCTTCTTTGATGGATTTTAGGGCTATGGACTTACCTTTCTTTGGTTGTGTAATAGTGAGTTCATAAGTTTGCAGCGATCCTACCAGTTCTTCAATTTTAACTTCATCTAGGTCCTTACTTTCCTCAATGACAGTGACTTTAGGTCTAAATCTCTTGGGCAAAGATCTAAGCACTTTTTTCACAATTTTAGACTCGGAAATTTTCTCACCTAGATTGAAGCTAGAATTGACAATGTCATTTAATTTAGCATAGAATTCGTCAAACGTTTCATCATCCTTCATTCTCACTTCTTCAAACCTAGAAGTTAGCATTTGTAACTTAGAGTTCTTTACCGTTTTAGTTCCCTCATGTGTAGTTTCAAGAATGTCCCAAACTTCTTTAGCAGTTTCACACATTGACACTCTCCTAAACTCTTCGGGAGACACGGCCATAAACAGGGCATGAAGACCCTTGTTATTCCAATTACACTCAGCTAGTTCATCCTTAGTCCACAGTGATATATCGGTAAGGTTAACAGTTCCTGATATGCTAGTAGAGGGAGGTTTCCAACCATTTTGCACACTTAACCAAACATGCTCATCTAAAGACTTAAGAAACGCACTCATTCTAACCTTCCAATAGGCATAATTACTTCCGTCAAAATACGGAGGAACAGAAAGTGATTGACTCATCTAGACAACTATGGGTCAGGACTCGAGATTAAGCTCTGATACCACTTGAAAAAGATATAATTCGACCCAACCAACACCTAGAGGGGGGTGAATAGGTGTTTATGCGGAATTTAAATCAATTAATTAATTCATGCAACAAGTCACATAAATTAAGCATTGCCTAGATTCATTCACATACTTTTATCTACCTGAGTTGAATTTTCGGTTGAAAAGTAAATAACGAAAAACAGTAAAAACAATAAAAACACCACAAAATATTGACGGAGAAAACCCAACTGGGTAAAAACTCCGGGCACAAGCCAGTAGAGATTCACTATCAAAGATATTGACTTACAGTACGCCAGACACAATTGAAACTACCAATTCTCTGACCTCCTTACTGTATCAACCAAAGCTCTCCTGGATTCTGCAGATCTGCGCCAAAATCCCAGCCTTGAATATCTTCAACCTCTCGTGAATCACCAAGCACTCCTGTTCTTCAAGCAATTTCCTTCCCGGATCTTCAAACTGATGATCTTTTGGAAGTTGGTAAGGAGTAATGAAACGGTGTTTTGATTTTTGTAAAGATTGATGTTTTTACTCAAAGAAACAAAAGATGAAAAGAATGAATTTGTTTGTTCTTGATCCTTTGGAATTTGAGAGGAATTGATGTTTTGTGTTTTCCAAAGGTTTTCAATGAAAAATCGGACGTTTTGTTTATATACTAGGTCGAATTTGGAAATATGGAGTGTTAAAAATTCGCGAGAAATTAAAATTAGCAATGGCCAGATAACACAGTCGCTCGAGCGAGGTGCTGGCGTAACTCGAGCGACGCACCTTCGCTCGAGCGACTGACCAGCGAAACTCCAGCGAGGTTGGTTCTGCAATTTAGGCTTGAGCGAGGTCAAGGCAAAACTCTAGCGACATCAACGCGCCGTTTGCAACTTCAAAGCATCCACCTTTACCCTAGACTCATGCAATAAAATTTATTAAATTGCAACTCTAGTCCCTGAACTATTAGACCTTTACAATTTAGTCCCTGACATTACAAACATGACAAATAGGTCCTTTGGTCACAGATTGCCAATTACACATTTTCCTAACAATATCTACCTGAAGCCTCGAAAAATTCTCCCTAGAAATCATTAATTACCATATTACTCCATGTCAAAACATAAGAGGCCGTTGTACGAAGATATAAATGGATGTATCCATAACTTTGCAAAAGAAGCTACTTGAATGGCATAAGCTAAAACAAAGAGCCAAATCTAACAATGATTTTTTAATCATCCTTTCCTTGATTGTCTAATATATTGTAAGTAGTGCATGTTATTGTAAATTGCACAAGGTAAAACACAGACGATAAAGCACATCATAGGACAACAGGAATACTGTATCATGTAATCATGTATGACTATAATATGAGATTTGTTGGAAATAGAGATTACTAAAGAAATATAAATTCAAATTTCAATTAGAAACAATTTTATTTTTAAATCCCCGAAACATTCAATGTAATTTTCTCATATGTGAAGGGAAAGAAATGTGACTAAGTATTACGATACTTCCGATCATTTTTAGTAGGCCAAACCAGAACTTTTAGTTATTTATTAAGTATAATAGTCAAATCCAAATTTAATTATGGAACTGATCAGTTTGGTCCCATTTGGATTCGTACTATAATTAAATTTTTTAATATTTAAATCATGATATGTTCAATTTTAACTCCTAAAAAATAACACAGTTCAGATTCAAAATATACAAATAACAAGTTGCCTAATAAGATCCATTAATCAATGCGTACAAATTACCAAAAAGTAAATTACAACGCTCAAATATCAATAATTCTATTCCATTGATTCCTTTTTTTCAAGCCTACAAATCTATATGAAACAGTGAAATATAAATTAAAAGTTATAGAAATAAAATATTTTTAAGTATTGCTAGTACTTTCTACCATTTAAATTATTTATCCGTTGTTTAACTTGTCATACTAAAAAACTCCATGAGAGATAATTGGAAAAACATATCTAACAAACACAACTAATCAAAAAATTGTCCAACTAATAAGATTTAATATGGAAAAATATATGATATGATGGTGTGGTCCGTGTGAATCTTGAGGAGGAAGGATGAAGTCGTGGCTTGTGATTGGGAAGCGGCCGAAAATGAGGGTCATGGATAAACCTAAATGACAGAATAAGTGAGTGTCAGGCGAATTGTGAAGTAAAGTTGTACTCGGATTGAAATTTGTAGCAAAAATATTTTGGACTTGAGTTGGGTTGGCCCTAGAGAGTTGGAGCCTTGCGCACTTATAGTTAATTACTTAATTAATTAATTGACAAATTTATTTACCCCATGTTTGATTCAAAAATATGGGATAAAAGGCATTATGGAATAGTGATTTTTTGGAGGATGTGTGAGAACCAAGAACTAAACTAAACCCGTCGGTTCTCAATTTTAGTTCCAATTCAGGTATTTAATCAAACATGAATCGAATTGAACCACTTGATTCGGTTCGGGAGTATTATCCGGCCCTAATTTTTAGTAATGCAAAATGAGATCACAGTGGAATCGAACTATGAGAGGGAAAATAAGAGCCTTTACTTCTAGCAGCATATGAGGGCATGCTTCCTCTTCTGATTAACCACCGGTATACCCATCGGGGCTTCATTTCACTTGAGTTTGAGTTATATATATATATATATATATATATATATATA